AGATGCTCTGCTGGAGAAGGAGGGGAAATCTCCTTCTGTGCCAGTTAGATCTGATTGAACTGTACACAACAAGAAGAGAAAAACTGGGGAGCTCTGGTGGCCTAGTGGTAAGGAGCTGCAACTACAATCCCAGAGGCGCACGGTTTGAATCCACCAGATGCTCTGCCCGGTAAGGAGGGACAATCTCCTCCTGTACCAGTCAGATCTGATTTGACGGTACACTCACACAAAAATAATAAAATTTTAAAAAAGAAGAGAAAATCTTTCCTGATTTTAAACCATGCAGTATTCCTTTCCTCTGTTAGCACAACAGCCTCTGGGTCTAGGTCTAAATTTCCTATGAGCTCAATCTTGTGTTCTGGAATTCCCATTCTTCTCAATGACAGAGACTAGTGACACCTAACAGCAACAAACAACAGAGAAAGCCTGACTCACACCATGGTGTGTAGGTTGCTCCATTTGCATGCAATAACTGGACAATGAATAAGAAGAACAAAGAAGAATTGGTGGCTCCTTATTCTGAGCTGATGATAAGGAGAAACCCCAGGCAGACATTCCTTCATTTAAGGAAGTGGAAGGGCAAGCACACCTGGAAGCATCTCTGGAAATGACCTTGTGGTTTTCAGAGCCCAAGTGGTCCTGTTGTGGTTGGAGGAGTGGCCTCCACACAAGTGTTTCCTTCTGGCTTCATTCTAGAGAATCTCTGTAGGAATTTTACAGCCAATTTCTGGTTGGTGGAAAGGCAGTCAAACCTAGGACTCCTGAGTAGGTCTGCCATGTTGCTCTCATTCTCCACCCCATAGTGTGTTAGTTGTGAGTGTAGCTTCCACTCAAGATTCCTGCTTCATAGCACATACTGGCCCCAGGGCTGACCGTAATGTTAAACAGACAGACACAAGCCATTACACCAGGGTGGTCTCTCCTGTGGGTGTCAGAGGGCTGAGTGGGAGATGGCAGGACGGAAGCAGAAGACTCCACCAGAGGACCTCCTGGAGCACCCAATTTTGCAAGTGGTGGTGTCTGGGTGAGGGAGGGGCTGCCATACCCCAGAGGGACTCCCAGTGAGGTCCGCACCTTTGTTCTCAGGGCTCACCCTGTAATTTGTGGCTCCAGCTGTGGCCACCATGACCACCACTGTCAATCTTTTCCTGAAGGAGTCCTGGTGGCAGAGTCCACAGTATACTTTGCAATGAACCAAGATACTTGTTTCTCAGATGCAGCAGCCTCCGTCCTCAGCCCTGGCCGGAAGGGGAAACAGGTGACCTGAGCTGACTTCTAAGGATGTCCACCTTGTTGTTTCAAAAGTCTTAACTAGGAGCATTCACTGGAACCAGGACAGGGTTTATAATGGGAGCTGACTCCACTCCGTGGCTCTTCTGCAGGTATTTGCAGTGATCCTGCCGGGTACGGGCTGTAGAGGGCGAGCACACTCCAAATGTCCCTCACGGAGGTCAGTGCTATCACATCCTCCACCCAAAACAGCAGTTAGTACATCCACTGTGAGTGGAGGGTAGTGAGTTTCCTAGTACATCCACAGTGATCTCAGGGAACAGTTATCAGGGCTCTTTCTCAGGAGGAGGACCAGGAAAACTAAATTACTGAAAACTCTTCCTTAGACCTATGGGTTCCACAGGATGCTGCTGGCATCCTCAGAATGTGCCCTGGGAAGGTCTGCTTTGTTGATTTCAGAGAAGTTTGGAGTCCTTCTCTTTGTGGAGGTAAGAGGTGTGGGGATGGGGAGGCCATAATCCCTTTTCACAGAAACATTCCTGTCCACAGAAGGATGCCCATGACTGGAGGCAGAGGCAGGGCCATTGGGAAAAGAAATTTCTCTCTTGCAGATGCCTCCTTGTTGATTCCCTGGTTCTTTCCAGTCTGTAGAGAGAAGGGCCACTGCTTTCTCTGCTCCTTATTCAGAATCTCTCAAAACTGAGCTCTGTTTCCTGTTTCCTTGTTCTGTGTGGAGGACGATCACAAAGATGATTGTTTACACAACCATCGTCCCAGAATTCCCATAGTTCTTATAGACAGGCGACTTAGTTGGTTATGTGTTAGACCGCTAATAATAAGGATGGGAGTTCGAATCCACTGGCTCCAAGATAAGGCGGTTTCCTCCGGGAAGGTTTCAAGTCTTTGAAATCCAATGGAGAGTCATTATGAGTCAGAATTCTCTGATTGGGAGTGGGTGGGGTTTTGTTTGTTTATTTGTTTGGGGGCTTTGTATACCTTATGAATTGAAAAGCAATTCTGAGTGCTGTAATGTAATGTAAATATGAGGGGGAAATCTGCACATGCCAGCCCAAGGCAGCAAGTCGAGTCCCTTATGTTGGTTTTCCGCTCACTCATCACCACGCAGTGGGAACCAACCCTAGCTGGCACTCCCCTGGGTTACTCAGACTGAGCGTCACATGGAAGAAAACTGTCTTCCTCTCTGTTACGGAGTTGAAGGTGGATTAGAACTGGCAGAGAAGCTCAGCCTGGGGTTCAACAGCACAACTCCTTACCGACAAAGCCACCAGAGCTAGAGAAACCAATACGGAGGCTGAAAACGCTCTTCAGTATCAGAAGTGACATAAATGAAAATTGGTAATGAGTTCAAGTATTTTCATTGTGGGCTTGAAAATGTTAAGGATGAAAATGTAAGTGATTCAAAATAGAACACCAAAAAACAAACCAAAATCTACTTGAATAGTTCTTTATTTCTTATTCTCTATAGCAAGTTGTGCTGCTAAATGAAGCGCCTCCCATCTTCAGCAGTTCAAATCCACCAGTGACTCCACAGAAGAAAGATGGGCAATATCTTCCCTTTATGATTTAAAGTCACCAAAACCAGATGGAGTGTCAAATGAGGTCAAACCAACTCAGTAATAGTGTTTGAGTGAGCCTGTAATGGTACAAAACAGATACAGCAGACAGTTCAATCTTCGACAGCGCAGGATGGGATTTTCTTCACTTCCATTTAAGAAATGCTCTCTCAGGTGGGTGGCTAGTGCTCCATGGATGCAAGGATGGGGAGACTTGGTCTCACATACTTTGGGCACGTTTTCAGGAGAGACCAGTCTCTGGGAACGCTTTGAAAGGTGGAAAGTTAGAGAAGGAAAGGAAGACTCTTAATAAGATGGAACTCACACAGTGACAAGGCAAAGACTGTGAGGATAGTGTAAAACTGAGAAAAGTTTCAGTCTCATCCACACCACACGTCATGGCACCTGTCAACACCAACCACAAAGGAAACCTGACAGCTCCTGTGTCACAATGGGGGCTGCATCCTCAGAAGAGGGGTGCTTTGTGCTGACTTGTCATTCAGAAGAGAAGGACTGATGGACAGTTTTGGCAGATTTAGAACTTGGGAAACTCAGTAAATTTCCAGAATTCTGAACGGAATGGGCTCAACAGCAGCTTGTTTGGGATGTTGTTTGTGGTTTATATGGTTTTTGTTTGGTTTCTTTTTTTAATGTGAGCGGGGTTTTTTGGGTTTTTTAATTTTAATGAATGTTTAAAGAGATTTTGGATTTCCATTCATTCATTGTTGCATTTTTCTCCCTCCCAGTTCGTTCTTCTCTTTGAAAAGTAAAAGAAAAATTTCTTCATTGGTATACAATCCCCCCTGCCCCAGTACACTCCACTATACATTCTTCATTCTGCTCCCCTGTCATAACCATAATACCCAATATACATCACTTTTAAACTGTTCTTTCCCTCATCTGTTTCAATGCAGTACACATAATTAATTTGGCCAAAGGGTGCAAGTTTAATATTCAGTTATTTGTATTTTCCAGACTTAATTTCTTCCAAAACATATATTAGAAAGGAAGTTCTTCTGGACCAAGTCAATGTGCCGAATCGTTCCCAGCTCTTCCATGTCAAGCCTTTGGATACTCACTAGTTAAGCCGTTAAAGCAGTTATCTGTAAGTGCTGTAAGCCTTGAGTAATTGTGAAAAGGGAAAGATTCTGTTAGACTGTTTTAGAAAGATTTTCACAGAATGGAGAAAGACAGAAGCAATCACTGAAACACAGCAAGGATGTGTGTGAGGTAGCAGATGCCAACAAGCAAACTGAAATCTGACAGCGGAGGAGGAGGAGGAGGAGGAAGAGATAGCTGGTGTTCAGATCATGCTGGTCCCCTTCCCTGCTGGGTCTTGTTTACTGCAAGTCACCAGCGCATGGTGCCTGTCACCCAGTCAGTGACATGTGCTCTGCAGGACCTAGTTCAAATAAGTATGTAGAGATTCAGTCAACTGGCTGACGCTTAGACATCCCCTCATTCCTCACTTCACCTGGGATCAGCCGAGCAAATAAAGAAGGGGGCGAGAAGTATTACTGGGTGAAGAATGTGTACACCCAGAAAAACATACGTGCAAGTCTGTGTGCCTGTGTACGCAGAACGTCTCCCCAGACTTTGGTGGAATGCATGCACACACGTTTGGCTAATTGGATAGATGAATTCCTAAGGCCCCCCACCCTAATGCCAACATTGCAGCCCTCCTGGAAGAGCCAGGAACAAGAGAGTTAATGAATTTTGAGGGCTTCACCCTTTGGGCCCAATTAAATTTTAGTGCCAGTTAATTAGCGGTTAAACTTACTTCAGTTCATCCATCTAGAGAAAGCACCATACAGAGAAGGCCACGAGATTGCAATTACCTTTGCTTAAAGAACACCAAATAATATTAAAAACCAAAAACAAATAGGAGATGTCCTGTCTCATTAAAGGAACTTCCCCCTAAATATATTCTTGAAATGAAGTGCAAGTGATTATTCTCTGTTCTCCAGCTTTGCCATTCAAATACTGTGTGTGGGGACTTCTGTCACTGTGGAAAGGATTCGGTGTTAATCTTCACCATTAAAAATTAATGAGGGCAGATCAACAGCTCCTTAGCATAATCGAGAGTAGAGCTAAATACTGCAGATGAACAATGCTGCTCCCATGGGAATGTTGGACCCATGACTAAAAATAGCACTGTCACATTTCCAGATGTTGCCCCAAGAGGGTGCATCTAAACAGAAGAGAAAGGAGCATTTGAGGACTGGAGACTCTACCTCCAATGGTGGGTAGTGGAAGCATCAGGTGCTTGTGCATCTGAAGCCACTGATTATGTTAATGTGTGAGCCTTCCTAGTAACTCCACTGGGGAAATGCACAATTGCAGCAACAACTAATTCATTGGATATCATAAAACCCAATTTACAGGTGGTCCCTGGGCTGTAAACATCTGACTTACAAACAGCCGGTAGTCAAAAACCAAGCCCTGGAAGGCCTGTTACATGAAAACTTTGAGATTCATATAATGGCTGATCATAACAAGTAAGCCTACATTTCAACTGATCAAAATTATTTATTATTATTATTATTATTGTTGTTGTTGATTATTATTATTATCATTATTATTATTTTAAGGATGTTTTGAAGAACCCAGAGTGTTTGTTCCATATTTTCTGTGTACTGAACACTAAGTGTTATGGAGTCAGAACCAAAGTGGAGCTGACTCTGGTGGGTTTTCACAAGTTGTAAATTATCTGGGAGAAGATTGTCCACCTTTCTCCCACTGAACACCTTGCAGATTCAACCAAACCTGAGACAAAGAATTTATTTGCTTGTCCCAAGACCCTGTTTAAGTAGTGGTCCCCAGGCTGTGAAAACCAGACTTACAGACAATCTGTGATCATCTAGCCAACTAGCCCGCGTGCTCCTTAGCGTTGCCAGTGTCACAGGCAGGTTCACTGAAGGCTACATGCTAAGCCTTTAAAGGCGAACTCCACTAATTGATGTTAGATATGAACTGTACCAAACTGTTCTCATGTGCATGCAAATTGAAGTCATTTAGGAACTGAACCGAATTGATGTACTCTGTACACTTTCAGAAGATAGTTACCCGGCCAACGTGATACCTCGTCGTATTCATCTCCTCGGGTACAAGGAATTGGTTCCACACCCAGCCTCTTTTAACTCGCCAGTGGGGTCCCACTGCATGGTTCTCCTTCCGTGTTTTCCAATCTCCCGAGGCTGGCAGGCACGGTCGGAGAAGAGCACATCCAGCTATCAAAAGTCTCACTAAGCCAGAATTCATTCCGATGTCTCTTCTGATTTGAGCCCACACTCTTCAGAGGCAGTGATGGGTGATGTAAACAAGAATCTTGTAATTTGTAATCCGTTTTTGTTCACTCTTAAGAGTAGTTTATCTCCCTAGAGCATAAGAAACAAAACATTTGACAATATTACAAAGAGCAGTTCCTCACATCATTGTGAAAAGCAGGCCTTAAAGTTTGCATTCTTAAGCTAGTTTCACTAAATGCAGTAGATACATATATTTTATTTCTCTCCCAATTATATTGATTAATTTGTAGTTCAGTTACAAATAAGTTGGTTGGAATAATTATACATTTGCACCCAGACACATTTCATTTTGCGCTGGAATCCTGCATTTGCCTGAAGCTTGAGAAGTTGTTCTTGCAATTTGATTGGCACTTGACATTGACATAGATTTTGGAGGGGGTTGTGTTTATTTTATTTATTTATTTTTTAGCCTACCTACTTTTCTACTTCAATAAAACTCAAACTTTCCTAGTAAAGCAACACCCAGACAGGGAAGCAAATGCCAACCTCTTTGTATTTCATAGAAAAAAATCCTTCACACTCACTTCCAAAAAAAAAAAAAAAGATGGTATTTTGTGTGTGTAACTAAATAAACTGAAGGACAACTCAGTTTAAGAACCTGCTGGGATTTCATAGTAAATAACAGTGATGCTATTAAACAGTCTGAATAGAAAACTTGCATGAGATAGATGCTTACTTCCTTTTTACAAAGAAATAAACCTATTTCTAGAGGGGAGAAAAGCACTGCAGTGCTTAAGTAGAAAAATCTTAATATTTATAATGTGTAAAATGGTCAGAGACATTGTCCATGGATTCCGAGGACTTCTTACACTTAGTACCTACGGAGTGTGCTGCTTCTTGCCAGGAAGCACCTCTGGTGGGTCAGACCGTCAGCAGCTGGGAGGGAGAAGGAGGGACACTCCTCTTCCATGCAATGTACAGTTGCCGAACCCCCCTAGTGGGTCAGCTATGAGTTGGTTGAGATTCAGTGATGATGAGTTGGGGGGTCTTCTGCTATGGTCATGATTTGGGGTGGCAGCAGATTCTCTGTCGCTAACCTACCAGTAAGCAACCCAGGACTCCCCAGTGACACCCAGAAGAAAGGGAGGTTGATGTGCTTCTTCAAAAATCACAGCCAACAAACAGTGTGGAGCACGTCTATTCCATAGCCCATGATATCACCATGAGTAAGAACAAACTGGATGGCAACAGGTCTTGCGGTTTAGTGGTGTGGGCTTATTTCTGGTTGGTGTATTTGTTTTAACGTATCTTCTATGCTGTAAGGAGCGCTGGTGACTTAGTGCCTAACGAGTTGGGCTGGTAACCAAAAAGCCATTGTTGGAGCCCACCAGGTGCTCCAAGGAGGGACAATAGGCAGCCTCGTCCTGTAAGATTTATGGGCTCAAGGTCATGACAAAGGCCATTTATCAATCACAACCCACCTGATGGCATGGAGTGGTTTTTATATTATTTTTAATATTTGTTATTATTAAAATGTAATTAATACACATTTGACTAGTTATCTTTCTGTTTCTACAATATTGGTCTTGGGGGAGGGTAGGAGTAGCGGAGTGAGGATGGGCAGCGTGTAATTTTAGAGCTGCACAATTTGATGGGTAGAGGGAAAGGTGGGTAAAGAAAATGGGAAAGATTTGGCTTGAAAAACAATATATACAAACATGGTAAGTAACCTAATATAAAATAAACATTTTCTTTAAAAAAATAAATACTAATTCATTTGGGCTTTATATATATTAGCACTTCCCATTTATTAAAAATATTCCTGGGTGTGTAATCAGTTAATACTCTTATCTACAAGCAAAAGGTTAGTGGTCCAGTCCTTCACGGGTGCTTCAAAGGGCCAGATGAACTGCTTCTCCATTAAAAATACTTTGGCACGTAGTTCTATGTGGCCTTTGTGAACTGGAACTCAGTGGAGGGAAGCTATCCTGAAGTTGATCTGTGAACAGTCTGTATTCATGAACGCATGTTTTTTATGTACAGGCAGTGCCCAGTTTATGGACATTCAGTCTGAATGTTTACAGACCTACTTGTCCTTTAGTGTTATATACATTTGCCTTCACTTTAAAACATTTGAATCAACCCCTGATTAAACACAGTCTTCATTCCACTGGACATTGTACCACCCTCAGCTGTGGTACATGCAATTTATAAATCACTAGAAAGACTTTGAGCATTTTCTTTCACTAAGGGTTAAGGAGCTCTGGTACCATAGTCTTTGGTGTTCATGCTGCTAGACAGAAAGACTTGATGTTTCCAGTGGTTCAATTCCACCAATGGTTCCATGGGAGAAAGAGGGCCAAGCTCTACCATGAAGATTTAGAGCCTAAGAAACCCACTGGATAGTAACTATGCATCAGAATCGTCTCTACGACAGTGAGGCAGATAAGACTAAGTGTGAATTATGTACATGTGTTCCAAGTTACCTATAAATTAGACTTTAATGAACAGTTAGGGATGAATGAACCTTGTTTGTAAATTAGGAATTGCCTGAAATGAAACAGTTCTGCATTATCTAACTCAACATGGTGTTTCAACAACATACTAGGTTTCTCCATGCTCCAACCAAATAGAATTGTTTGTCTGGGGTTGATGAAGACATTCAGAATTGCGGGCCTTCGGATATAGTATAATATAGTATAACCGACAGGAAATCCACAGAACCTCTCCATCTGTCAGGAGAGTTCTGTAGGCTCCTTCTGCACCAAGTGTTAAATTCTCCCCCGCATATTTCCGAAGAGCTCCTTAGAGATTTCTAGGGCTTCACCTCTTGTTAGGAAAAGTTGTTAAAAAATCTCTCATTAGGAAAGGACACATTCTCAGCAAGGGATCCCGAGGTCCCTCTGCAGTCTCTTAAACAGAGGTGTTCTCCGTTACAGGCTTAGTTAATGAGGGTCAGGGGGAAACTCAGGCAAAGTGAAGATTTCCTCCTTAGTTGAATATTTGAAATTCAAGCTGTGCCTGTTGTTTAGAAATTGCTAAAAAAGTTTATTGTTGATACCTAATGAATAATAAAATGATTTGGAACAAGAATAGTTTTCTTAAGAAGGATGACACTTTGTATAAATTTGTACACATTTGAAAATGTCACATAATATGATGCGCATCTCTTATCTTTGGATGCCTAACATGAGTTTCGTTGGCTTTATATTTTGGCATTTTTCAAATATTTAAAAACATGGAAAATAGAATAATGAATTCCTATATCACCAATACCATCCTTTAATAATTATCATCACATTAACAATCCCATTTTGATCATTCAGTTATAGAAAACACAGTTTGATGTAACATAATTATATCCATAAATTATACATAAAACCAAACTGGCCCTCCATCGGATTTCTGGAGCTATAAACCCAACAGAAGGAGGCTGCTCATCTTACTCGAACAGAGCTGCTAATGGCTTTGAACTGTCAGGGATGTAGTCTTTGGGTTAATAGCATAGCACAAACACACTGACCAACCCCATCTATTAATTATCTTTCACCCTATTAATCTATGCGCTGTAGGCAGGATTCCGGCTCACAATGGTCCTGCAGACAAAGTAGAACTGTTCTGTAGGGTCTCTAAGACTGCCAAACATTTACACATTCAGAGTGTACTCTTTCTCCCCACGCGTGGCTGGTGAGTTCTAACCCCTTACCTGTGAATTAGCAGTCAAGTTATTTTTTAGCCACTCTGCACTGAGGTCTATCTTTCATGCTTTCTTTCTCTAAATCAAGTCTAACACTCCAAATGTCTAACCACAAATGAAAGGATTGAAAAGTTATGATACATTCACACAGTGGACTACTACGCAGCATGCATGAGCAATTATTTTGTAAATTATTACCTAATTTGGGAGGGACTGGAGAGTATTATGCTGAGAGAACGAATTCCGTTTCACAAGGATAAATATTGTATAAATGCATTATTGCAGAATGGGTGTAAGGGTCCAGGAGGGCTGAGCGAGGTTGGAAGCAGAGGGATGAGGATGTGCACGCAGGAGCGGGGAGGATTAATCATGGGGTTGAACAATTTGATTGGGGGATGGTGGTGAGGGAAATTGAAGGAATTTGTTCTTGAAAACAATGTATTCTAATTTTGTAAGTAAACTGATAGAAAATTAAAATAAAATTTTTAAAAATGTAAAAAATAAAACTATGACTAAATCTTCATTGTTCTGGTTATTCGGTGCTGTCAAATTGAGAACAACTCAGAGTGACCTTATGAACAACGGATCTGAACCCTGTCCTGTTCTGTGCCACCCTCATCGTCTCTGACATGCTTGAGCCCATTGCTGCAGTCACTGGGTCAACAGTTAACCATTCAGTTAAGAGTCTTCCTCTCCAAGCATAATGTCCCTCTCCAAGGAACAGTCCAACAACATACCCAAATTACATGAGAGAAAATTTTGCCATTTTTCAAAGTTCAGAATAAAACTCTTTAAGCAATGATGAGTCAAGATTCAAATCACTTTACAGAATGCCTTTGCTGATATGTTTCTAAAGTCTCCTTTGCTCTTAAGTTGATAAAGCCTCCTTTGTTGTTGCTGTTTTTAGGTGTCGTTGATTCGAGTACTATTCACAGTGACCCTGTCAATAACAAATCTAAACCCTGCCATATCCTGTGCTTTCTCTATAATCTCCGACATCCTCAGGCCCATAGCTGCAGTTCCTGTGTCAACCCACCTAGTTGAGGGTCTTCCTTTCCTTCGCTATCCCTCCGCCTTTCCAAGCATGATATCCTTCCCCAAAGAAGAGTCTCTCCTAACACCACGCCCAAAGTACATGAAATGAGGCTTCATCATCCTTCTCGCCAAGAGTATTCTGGCTGCACCTTCTCCAAAACTTATCTGTTTGTTCTTTTGGCAGCCCATAGGATTCTCAGTACTCTAAGACAACAGTTCAAAAGTATTCATTCTTCTTCTGTCATCCAGGGACTGCTAAGAAAATGAACAGGTTCATCCTG